CCGATGTAACGGTACCCCCAGTATTTGGTATTCTATGGATTTTGAGCACGTTTTTCAACCGAATTGGCTATAAATAAGGGAATGAACCATTAAAATGAAAAATATATAAAAAAAATTAAGTTGAACAGGAAAAAAGGATTCTGACCGTCTATGCATCGATAGCTGCGAATATAATCGCACGAAAATGTTCACGTGTTTATTCCAATGTGATTTTTCATTGTCCTACATCGATGCGTGTCATACTAAGTACATTTTTAAAACCAGTAAGGAAAGTAGTAAAGTCGGACGGAGCCGACTATATGATAGCCTTCACCACTTTGGGTATATTCAACAGATGAATTTTAACAGACGTCGCATTCTTTAAGGATGAGTAAAATGAAATTGAAGGATCAGTAAATTTTTCATTTGGGTCAGATATAGAGTTGCTTGTGACAATGGGACAAAATTACGTAAATCAATTTAAAGCATATATCAGTCGGATACCCTTTGATTATTTGGATACATATCTGATAAACATGAGGAGTTTGGTGCACCATTTACTTCAAATCGGACGAAAATATTTATAAAAGCTATATCGAAATCTTGTCACAGAATATGGGCCACATTTTGAGTTCTTGGTGCATTATTTAGTTAAAATCGGGAGAAAACATGGTAGCTCTAATTGAACCGATTTCAATAAAACTTTCCACATGCTAGGTTTTATAAACCATATAACATTGGGTCTTTGGTGCACATTTAACTTAAAATCTGACGAAACTATATACAGTAACTATATCTAAATCTGAACTAATTTCAACAAAACTTGCCACACGTTATCTTATAATAACTTCTATAAGTTTGAGCAAAATTTTGTGCCAATCGGACCCACCTGGGTAATTCGGTGCAGCATTTATATGTAACTTATAGGTTGTACTAAGTTCATTACGAAAGATATATAGAGACTCTGGTGCACCATTTACCTAAAATCGGACGAAAATATATATTGGGGCTATATCTAAATCTTAACCGATTTTCACGAAACTTCACACACATCATTGTAGACTTTATTCAGTACGCTGTACCAAATTTCGTGGAAATCGAAAGATAAATAGGGACTTTGGTACACCATATTCCTTAAATCGGACGAAAATATATATGGGAGCTATATCTAAATCGGAACCGATTTTCACGAAACTTAGCACACATCATTCTAGACTATGTTCAGTACGCTATACCAAATTTCGTGCAAATCGAAAGATATTTACGGACATTGGTGCACCCTTTACCTTAAATCGGATGAAAATATATATGCGAGCTATATATGAATCTGAACCGATTTTCATGAAACTTAGCACACATCATTCTAGGCTTAATTCAGTACGCTGTGCCAAATTTCGTGCAAATCGAAAGATGTTTAGGTACTTTGGTGCACTATTTACCTTAAATCCTTACATTAAAATATAGATCAATGTTCGGAGAAGCTACATATATTCAATTTGTAGCCATTGCATTGTTAGAAAAACTTTATAGGTTCCCTACAAACTTCTATAGAATTAAATCGTTAAAATTTTGAAATTAGGCAGTATTTAAATGGAAAATATTTTGAAACCAAAAAAATACTTCACTGAACAATACCACAAAATAGAAAGGTACCTTAAAACCAAAACTATGCATTCTTGATGCAAAATGCAATTGTACTTGACAGAATAAAAGGATTTTAAGATTTGCTTAGCATAGCACAAAATGTGTGCTATAATTTTGAGAAGCTGTAGCACTCAGCAGGCGAACAACAAAAACAACAAGCACACATACACGCACACTCACAAAATGCCAAACTGAGAAATATCCCCCACAATTCGTTTAACATCAACTTAATGTGAAATGTTTGTGACTTTCTTTCGGTTCATTGTTTCTTGGCATGTGTCTAGCCGTTCGTCCTTTGTCTCTGCCGGCAAGGGTCTCTTTAGAATAACTAAATGATGCGGTGCGGCAAATTTGATGACGACGTTCATGATGATGATGCTACGAAATGAAAACAAGAATATCCGAGCCAGTGTATCTATGCCAAATTCAAAGATGCCAAAAGGATTTGCAGTTATCGCAACGCTTGCTTATTGTCCTTGTTATGCACTGCCCTGCCTGCCTGCCGCCGATCACCGCCTTTGCATTTCGGCCTCATTGAATTTTGGCAGAGGACAAGCAAAAGAAAAACAAAAAAAATCATTCAGTCTTGCGTTAAATTAGAGGCTAAAATTTTTCTAAACACATCAAAAGTCAAGCAAAATTTCCCATATAATGGATAAGATGTCTAAAGATCCATTGTGTGCGGCAGAGCTCTTACTTTGTCTGAGTTCTGTGTGTGTGAGTGTGTGTGAATTTGTGGTTTTAATTTAAATGGAAATTAAATGCTTTTGCTAAAATTTCACAATACGATATAGTTTGTCCATTGATTTGTAACTGTTTTGAAAATTGCAATGAGTGCTGCCGCCAGCAAGCCGAACCGGCCAGGCCAGCCTTGGTAAATGACCATTAGACAGGCCACAATGGAGTTATTTGTGCTGTTTTCTCCATTTCCTCGTCGTGTTTGTTTCACAGTTTGTTTGAGTTTTTATTTTGTGGAAAGTTTTTCCTTTACTTTCAAAGGAATTTCAATTTGAAACTGTTGCTTCTTTTCGTTTTGTCTTTTTTTCAAAGACATTGGTCATTTCCAAGAAATCTGTATTTTTTCTACTTTGGTTTTTCTTTTTATTGTCACGTTTGTAGGGTGTTCAGTGTTCGATTTACAAAAAATATACTATTGCATATTTTTGGTACGGATGTGTGTTATTCGATGAGAATCCAAAATATCAAATTACAGTCAGTTCGGTTGGAAAACGTGTCCAAAATACCGAATATTGGGGGACTCCGTCACCCTGAAACTTGGGTCAATATTAATTATTTTTGGTACGGATGTGTATTATTCAATGCGAACCTAAAGTACAAAATAACAGCCCGTTCGGTTATAAAACGTGCCCAAAACCGAAAAATACCGAATATTGGGGAGTACTGTTATATGGAGGCTACCCTGAATCTTGGGTCAATATTAATTATTTTTTGTGCGGATGTGTGTTATTCAATGATAACGCAAAACACAAAATAACAGTCAGGTCCGTTGAAAAAAGTGTCACAAATCCCCAAAATACCGAATATTGGGGAGTACCGTTATATGGGGGGCTACCCTGAAACTTGGGTCAATTTTAATAATTTTTGGTACGCATATGTGTTATTCAATGATAACCCAAAATACCAAAGAATAGTCAGTTCCATTGGAATAACTGCCAAAAATACCGAATATAGTCGGTACCGCTATATGGGGGCTACCCTGAAATTTAGGTCAATATTAATAATTTTTGGTTCGGATATTTATTATTCAATGAGAACCCAAAATAGCAAATAACAGCCAGGCCGTTTGGAATACGTGTTCAAAACCCCCAAAATACCGAATATTGGGGGGCACCGTTATATGGAGGCTACTCTGAAACTTGGGTCAATATTAAATTTTTATACCCTACACAACTATGTTGTCAGGGTATTATAGCTTTGTGCAAACCCAAAAGTTTGTAACGCCGCGAAATATTGGTCCTAGACCCACCTTTAAGTATACCGATCGTCATATATCGACTAGCTGAGTCGATCTAGACATGTGTGTCCGTCCGTCCGTCTGTCCATTATAATTTGTAAACACGATACAGGCCACAGTTATGGACCAATCTTCACGAAATTTTGCATGTAGGATGGGTTCTGGCCATTGAAGACCCCTATTGTTTTTGGGAAAGATCGGTTAATATTTAGGGGATGAAATGGACCAAATACTAAATTTTTGTCGGTTTTTCTGGTCGCTCCAGAGGCCGCAATAATAGCCCGAACATCGTGAAGTTTTCCATGGAGAAGGGGATCAGGCCAAAGAATAAGCATGTCTGTTTTCATAAAGATCGGTCAATATTTAGCGGGTCAAATGGACCCTGACTTTTGTGTGAAAAATGACAAAATTTATATTCTATAGCATATATATTTACCCCTGAAGGACATAGACCCGAGAAGTTTATATTATGTCCAAGAGGAGTGGTTGACCTTTAAATTAATACCAATTATATTGTTGTATGTGCTCGGATGTGGGAGTTACTCCTAAATATTTACAGGTATCTCCGTATTCGTATATCATTTAGTAACCCATTATCACTCTAGAGAGCGGAACTATAGGGCTGATCGATTTGAAATTTTTTTTTTTTTTTGAGTTTCCAGTTATGGTCAAGGACAACGCCTATAATTTTCAGTGATGATCAGATAATAATTTTGGAATAAAGTGGACCGAAAACTTAAATTTTTGTGTTATTTTCGAAACGATCTATAGACCGTAAATGAAAGCCGAACATCAGAACACAACCCACGGTGAAGAGAATCTGGACAATAGCTGTACTGAATACTCGTAATATTCGAAATAATATGTCAGTGTGAGGAAGATTTGCTGTTTACTTCTAAACGGGCAATCGGGTGCAAATATCACGAAATATTGCCCAGGCTCGGAATATACATCCGCAAAAAATTTGTGTTCCGTGGTAGTTGTGTAGGGTATCGTATGGTCGGCCCCGTCCGACTATACTGCTCCGCTCACTGGTTTTTGGTAGGGATGTGTGTTATTCAATGAGAATCTAAAATACCAAATAACAGCCAGTTCCATTGGAAAAATTGAAAATCCCCAGACTACCCAATATTGGCGGGTACCACTATATTGGGGCTAACCTGAATCTTGGGTCAATATTAAATGTTTTTTGTACGGAGATGTGCTATACAATGAGAATCCGAAATAAATTACAGTCAGTTCGGTTGGAAACGTGTCCAAAATCCTCAAAATACCGAATATTGAGGGGTAGCGTTATATGGAAACTTACACAAAAACGTGGACCCATATATACCTAAATACCTATACGCACATACCTATAGAGTGAGATAAAAAAACTGCAACAAAGTCATAACGTCAAAATTTATAATTTTTTTTAATTCTATTGAATAAACGCAAAAATGTCGGAAAAAGCATCAAATTTTAGAATAAGTTTAGATTTCTTAGAATTGGTCACCTTTGGTACAAATTATGGTCTTCAAACGGCCAATGAAAGCGTCATATGATGCCCGAATGTTGTTCTGTGGTATTTTTGGCCCATTCCCGGCGAAGAGCCTGCTTGAGGTGATCGACAATTTGGTATTTTTTAGTGCCAACCTTGCTTTCCAAAATACTCCAGACACAATAGTCCAACGGATTGGTATCCGGAGATTGTGGTGGTCATTTTGCGCTGGAAATGAAGCGAGGAACCTCATTTTATGGACATTCTTGGGTACACCGTCTAGAATATTTTCGCTATAATATTTGATATTTATTCTGATTCCACGGTCGATTAATACAAGCTGAGAGCGACCATCGGCTGTTATGGCGGCCCACCATCGCCATGGACGGCCCTTGAGTTCTGTGGCCAACGAAGGTGCACATTTTCAGCTGACCTCTTTGGCAAGTACACACGATCATTTTGTGTGTTTACAAATTGCTGGACAACGAATGTTTTCTCATCGGAGAAAACCAATTTGGCAGCTCTTTTGAGCCTATTTTCTTCCTGTTGCATTGTAAGTTCTTGCACTTTTAGGAATTTCAACGCCTTTACCCCGAGCTCATTTTTCAAGATTTGCCGAATGGAATATTGCGATATATTCAGCTCACGAGCTATTTTTCGGCCTATTTTCGATCAAGTCGCTTCTTTACTTTTCGAACCATTTCTGCTGATGTTACTGTTTTCTTCCGTCCACTTTCTTGACGTGGGGGCTACGCTACCAGTATCACGGTAAGGAGCGATGGTACGAGACCCAAAATATTTATTCACATTTAAATGCTGGAGTGCTCTAACGATAGCCACTTGTGGTTTTCCAGCCAAATATAGAGAAATCCTACTATGACGCTTAAATTCCATCACGAATATTTTTTTCTGGAAAATTCTCACCAAAATGCTTATGTACGCTTGTAAACAAAGTAATGACTGGAATAATAATTTTATGCCTCAAGTCGGTTGCATTTTTTTTTTTTTTAATTTTACCCTGTATATATACCTAAAATACTAATTACAGCCAACTCGACTGAAAATCGTTTCTATACTTTCCAAAACATTAGATCGATTTGGTTGCATTACTTGAAGGATTATTACAGTGATGAACTTAACATAATTCAATTTTGTATATACCCTCTTTCAGCACAATCTTTCATCGAACTATTTGTAGCAACAATGAATTCAGATATCGTTACATCACGAAGAACCTGCTATGTGAGGTTGCCGGACAAGAGGCTTTAAATTCCTCCGTATAAAAATTACAATATATCTAACATTTTATTTTGAATATAATTGTCAACTTTTTAAATTTTCTGCAATACCAATATAATTGACCCTTTGTCATTCTAACACATTCTGCTAATTTGTTCGTTCATTTTTTTGTGTTCTCTTTTTTGTCTCATTGAAATGGCATGTTGTTGTTTAGCTAATTAAACCTCGCCTCAATTTTCAAGTACTCTTTTTTTGCCATTTGGTATCTATCTATTGTTGGCAGCTTTGATGTTGTAATCATTGGCTCTTCCTTTCCAATTTCCATAATAAAGACGCGACAAAAGTGCATTAAAACACGCCAAAGTTAGGCTAGATATGGCAAATATTCATTTGTTGCCAGAGTGCCAGAATGGACTTGGCCCCCAAATGGCAAGACTTACACATATTATGGTTATGAGCCACAAAATCAACAAATATCTATAATCATAGTGAAACTTATTGCATGGTTTATTTTTTTGGAATATATTGACTGAATATATTGTTATGGGTTTAATTTCATTGGAATTGAAAAAAATTAAGGATATGGGCTTATTAAATTAAATCAAACCAATTGTATAGCAAATTTCAGTACTAAAATATTTTTAATATTGACCCACGTTTTAATATAATAATATTGTACCCCCCAAAATGAGGATTTTTGTTGCGTTTTTCAATCAAAATAGCGGGAATATGTCCTTCATCAGTAAATATATATGCTGTAGAATACAAAATGTTGTCATTTTCACACAAAAGTAAGGGCCCATTTGACCAGCTAAATATTAACCAATCCTTATCAAAAAACGTGCTTATTCTTTGGCTAGATCCCCTTCTTGATGTAAACATTCACGAAGTTTGGGTCTTAATTGCGGCCTCTGGAGCGACCAGTCAAAAATAAAGTTTTTTATCCATTTCATCCCCTAAATATTAACCGATCTTTACCAAAAACAAGGTCATGACTGTGGCCTGTATCGTGTTTACAAATTATAATGGACAGACAGACAGACGAACACACATGTCTACATCGACTTAGCTAGTGGAGATATCACGATCTGTATACGTAAAGGTGGGTCTAGGATAAATATTTCGCGGCGTTACAAACTCTTGGGGCGGCACAAAGCTATAATACCCTGACAACATAGTTGTGTAGGGTATAAAAAGAGGTTTATACGAGGCTTCCCCCCCAAAAGGGGACAAATATTAATAATTTTTGAGGGAGGGAGATTTGTTACCAAATATTACTAACAATATCAAATTAAACGAATTCGAGAATTTAGGGGTACCATTATTTGTGGGCTAACCGAAAAAAAATTACCAAAGTTTATAATATATAGTGGAGAGATTTAGTACAGAATATGAACCAACGCACCAAATTTTTAAAAACTCCAAAATACAAATAATTGGGGGTGCACTTATTTGGAGACAATCGAAAAAATGGGCATATATTTATAATTTTTAGAGGAGAAATTTGCTACCCAATATTAGCTCACAGTACTAAATTACAGCGAATTCGGTCGAAAAAGGCGCTCAAAACCCCAAAATACTGAAAACTGTGCGGGACTACCCAATAAAAAAATTACCTATATTTATCATTTTTAATGGGTACCAAACCCAATAAGAAACCAATGTACTGAATTTCAGGAAATTCGATTGAAAACGTGCTGAAGGGGCATAGCCCCATATAAGGGGCTGCAGACAAAACACAACTTTACGCAACATTTTGGCTATCGATCTCAATACGCCTAGAGGCTATAGCGATTACAACATACAGACGGACATTTATAGGGTCGGAAATGATTATTTCGATAAGCTCCGAACGGAAAACAAACTTAATATACCCTCCATACTATGGTGTATATTTAAAACAAAAATTAAGCACATTAATTTTGTTAATAATAAAATCTGCCTTGCCCGGGCCAAATATTCCCCACCTGCGTACGTCTCTGGACGTACTTTTATTTTGGGACTATGCCGATACATGGGTCAATAATAATAATTTTTGGTATTGAAATTCGCTATACAATTCGAAACTACATCAAACACCTGCCCAACACCCTAAAATACCGAATATTGAGGCGATCGTTATATGGGGGCTATACCAAAACGTAGACCGATATATGAAATATCAAATATCCCAGAGCTATTTCAGAGATTTCGACCGACGGACAAACATGCGGACATGTCTAAATCAAGTTGCATTCTGATGAAGAATACATGGGGTTTTAGGTGAATATTTCGAGGTGTAGTGAACGGAATTAGACATTTGAGATACACGCCTCCTTATGGTGAAGGAACGAAATAAGGAATACAAAATTAGGATCCCTCGATTTGTTTCCTTCTCCAAATCACAGGAATTACAATTTACCTTCGTTTTCTATTAGAAAATGCACTTAAAAACATTATGCTTTCTTTGGAAAATACCACAGTCAAAACATGAATCTGTATTGATTTTTTTCAGCAAGACGGAAATAACAGACCATTAGGTTTGAAAATACGCAAGGAGAAAATGAAAACAATACACCCATTTTTGTTGATACATTCATATATGTATCAGAAATATGCATATATGCGTTTCCCCTATATGACAATAACACTTTTTTTGGCATTTAGATGATCTGGTAGCTTCCTTACCAAAAGCAATGAGTATCGACTCCCCAAGCAAGCCGGGCTCCATCCTTTGGCTAAGTCGGTAGATTCCCCTTTTGGTTTATGTTCGAATAAGGCTAGGAGACTTCATTTCAAATAAATAAAAAATTTAAGTATTTTTACTCACCCCGTTCAACATGCGTAGTGTGGTGTGTAGGGTAAACCAAAAAGTAAATGGCCGAATTAACAGCTATTCTCTTCTCGTTTTTTTCTTCCATAGAATACAGATTTCTTGTCTGACCTAATTTACACCGTTCATAGGTTTAGACATTTGGATTCGCAATTTCGCTGTATGTTGTGTTGTTGTTTCTTCTATTCATCATCGCTTTTAATGTTGTTTTCAACGCAATCAAAATTTATAACCCCCGATGGGTTGATTAATTGAGTTTCGCCGTTGGTTTTCATGTAGCTGTTGTGACCGCTGTTTGGCCGTAGGTCGTTGTTGTTGTCTTATTCTTTCCGATTATTATTGGTGTAGGCAAAAATCACTAGAATTTGGCGATTCTGTGGGTCAAAGAATTAACGTTTTATGGTACAGCAACAGCAAAAGTCATTGAACGTTAACGCACTGGAAAAAAACTAAATAAATAATCGAATAAATGCGGACTGTAGATGTAGGTGATGTTATAGGTGAACATGTGGTGAGTTTGGTATTTTGCAGATTTTCTCAACATTTGGGGGAAGAGGCTATAATTTAGTATTCCGGGGGGATGAAACACATATTTAAGGAATTTTATAACCCATGGAGAGTAGAAAATGTTCGGCCCAATTTGGAATTTTGGTGGACGACGGGTTATCAAAAGAGTGAGAAGAACTTGTAGATCTCGAGATAAACATAGAATATGTAGCATCATATGCACCCAAGCGTGTCTTCAAAGAAGTCCTAACCATTAAATGTTCATAGTTGGTGAACCGCTGAAAAGTTGTCGATAGGAACGCCAATCTTAACAGTTTGGCTATAGTAAAAGGTCACAGGGATGATCCCAGTGCATATAAGATCACCAGAAGTTTTTACCGTGAAAAACGGAGTATAAACCGCGAAACTCATTCGGTCCTAGTTAGGTCATTCGACGCACCAACATGAAATACTCGAACACTCAATGGAGCGTCTTGGAAGTGTTGTTGAGAGGAATTTTTGACCCGGGACATCGGGATCCCCAAATGCAAATAAATTGGTCTGCGATTGATAAATATTTGTTCGATTCCTATCTAATAGAAGATCCCACCACAATGAGCATATACAGCTGATCTACATATCTTGGACATCAATAATGCATCTGAAATGCAATTATTCTGAGACCATACCAAAAATTATTAAAATTTACCCAAGTTTCAGAGTACCCCAAATA